AGGTAACATGTAAAGAAATATGATAGCTGATTTTATTAATTTTGTAATGTTTATAATGGTATTATACTTTTTAAACCCCTACCTACTAAAGATACATTAAGAAATATTTACAGGAAAAATGATAATGTGATCCAGGTTTAACTTTAAAATATTCCAGAAAATATGGAGGGCGAGGGTGAGGATGACAGAGAAGAAATCAAACAACGAAAGAATGCTGACAACTAGTCTATTCATTCTATTTTTGTGTGTTTTTAAAATTCTTATTATAAAAAGATCACACACATAAAATCAGTCTTTAAAAATAAGTGTCACTACTAAAATGTTTTAGAATCCTGAAGATCTAATGAGCTCTGTTTTCCAAAATGTAAAGCTTAAACTCATCAGAGCTCACCTCTGAGATCTATGTTATTGTGGGAGGAATTATACATAAACAGATTAACAAAATTCCAACAATCTCTTTTTTGGTTGATTTTTGTTCTTTAATTCTACCAAGGACAAGTGTTTTGGGAAAATGGAAAGTGAAATGAAGGGTGAGGGACTTACAAAATAAAAATAAAAATGTACAAGAAAGACACACCACTTCTGTGCCTCAAATGTATGCCCTCAATCTAATCGTGAAAAAACACCAGACAAACCCATATTTAGGGACACACTATAAACTATGTGACTTGTAATCTTCAAAGGTGTCAAACTCAAGAAAGAATGACTGAGGAACTGTCACAGACTGGAGAAGACAGAAGAGACATGACATCTAATTGTAGGATCCTCCATTAGATCCTGGACTAGATAAAGGACTAGATAATACTAGGCAATTTACTTCCGTACTGATACTGCCTCAGAAACCCAAGGAAAGGTCGCTATGAGTCAGATCTGACTCAATGGCAGTGCGTTTGCATTAATACTATTATTAAATGGTAGAAAAAACAGCAAAATCTGAATAAAGCTGTACACCAGTTAATACTCTATCATTATTATGTTAACTGTACTGATTGTACAAGATGTTAACATTAGGAGAAGCTTGATGCAAGGGTATATGAGAACTCTACAATTTGTGTAATTTTTCAGTAAATCTAAAATTATTTCAAAATAGACAATTATATTTGAAGAATAAAGGCTCTACTTTGTAGGAGATCCTGGATAGAGTGGGAGAACAATGTAGAACAAAACTCAAAATCATTTAAAAAAATAAATAAATAAAAGGGACCAGGGTTTGCTGGTCTGATAGAGCCTGGTGGAACCCCTGAGACTATGACCCTTAGCTGCCCCCTTCAGGACTAGAATTGGACCCACTCCTGTGGCTGCCAGCCAAACAAAAGATAAGCACATGAGCTGAACATTCACATTAGGTAGATACACTCCTTGGAGAGATCAATCATGGGAGAAAGAAGGGCTGTGTATCCACAGGGACATAGCTTGGGGGGCAGGAGGGCATGGGAGGGAAGGACATAGGGAAGAGGTAACTATGGGGACGAAGTGGGAAGAGAGCTGTTGCACTGTGGGAAATTGCAGTCAATGTCATGAGACAGTATATGTGAGCTGCTGTATGGAAAATGAATTTGCTCTGTAACCTTTCACCTAAATCACAATAAAAATTAAAAAAAAAAAAAAGAATAAAGGTTCTATAGCTCACACAGACTTTGCTATGACAATTTTGTGACCAGAGAAAACTAAAATGTTAAAGGATGAGTTAAAAAATACAAAAAGCAAACAGTACCACAGTGCCTCACAACCTAAAAACCATTGCCATCCAGTCAATTCTGACTCACAGCCCTAGAGGACAGAGCAGAACTGCCCGAGAGGGTTTCCAAAGCTGTAGTAAATCTTTACAGAAGCCAACTCCTCATCTGTCTCTCATAGAGTGCCTGGTGGGTTTGAACTGCCAGTCTTTTGATTAGTAGCCCAGTGGTTTAACCACCGTGCCTTATAACCTACCCTCCCTAAATCCAGATACAGTCATGCATCACTGAACATCCATGACATGTTCTGTGCAATAGGATGTTGTATGATTTGGATGGTGTATAAACACGCCTAAATCTCAAGCAACAGCATTCACCGATTTTCCACCTTTGTGTTGTTTGATAACCTTGTTTCATTTCCAAATTGATACCTCTCCTTTGCCTCTTGCTGCTGCTGTCACTAGCACTGGTTTTGCTGTATGAAGAGAGCCATGATGCACTTTACAGTATTATTTTTGATAGAAAATTAAACAGAAAGAATACTACAACATTCAAGAGATGAGAAATACACAGGATTGGATGCTGCTGCCTATGAGTCACAGCACCCATTTTTACACAGTAAACTTTTTATTTTTAAGTATGGAAATCCCACACTAAAATAACAATAGAAAGTACAGTACATACATAAGCCAGTATCAAAGGTGTTTATTATGACTATCAAGACATATGTACTATAGGTTATGTATATGTACTGGACCATTAAAACACCTGGCAGCACAACTGCTTTGTATACACGAGACATGAGATACATGTGTTGAGTGTGGTTATGTCTGGTTATGTCCACTACATCCTGTGCTCCAATCAGGATTTCTGAACTGTTATTATCATCTTATGGGACCATGGATGTATATGCAATCGGATGTTGCCCAAACAGACATTCTGCAGTGGCTATCTAGAGATGTTCAGTGTTTCGTTAGGGAAGAAGCACACTGCCTACCTCGCTCTGAATCAGAACGATCTGAAGAAATAGTTGATCCAATGCTGTCCATTCGTATTCGTTCCATCTCCTGAGGACCCTGCAGCTGTTCCAGTCGCCGCTTTAAAAATCTCTGTTCTCGTTCCAAGTTCTCAAGCTGGTGCTGGCTCTTCCTTTCAGCTTCTTCAAGTTTCTAAAATGTTAAAATGATATTTACAATCATGCATAGTCCAGTACAAACAATAAAACGTACTGATTTCTATGTAACACCTCAAAGATTTCTATGGCAGAGAAAATGTGAACCTACACATACACGAGTATATATAAAAAATAGTTCTGTCTTCACTCTGTGTGTGCATGTAATGAAAGCTACGTTATTTGAACGAGATGGAATTCTTGAAGTCTGTAATCACCATGAGGAGTTCTGGTGGTGCAGTGCCTAAGGCATTTGAATGGTAACCAGAAGGTTGGTGGTTCAAACCCACCAGCTGCTCCATGGAAGTAAGATAGGGCAATCTACTTCTGTAAAGATTTACCTCCTCGGAAACCCAATGAGGGTCTTTACGAGTCAGAACCGACTCGATGGCATTCAGTTTAGTTTATTTATTTATTTAGTAATAGCCATGAAGGAGAAACCTCCTCTGCAGTGTATTTCATGGAAAAATACTGAGGGACAGAGCCAAGTGACGTTAGCTCCAGCAGAGGGCACAACTGCCTTTCTTCTGAGGACCAGGAGGGTAATTGTTATTTTCCTAGTGTTCCCAGCTCTTCACATGGCCATGCTGTCAAAACAATTTAGTTTAATCAGGTTATGCTGCTCCCATCAGACTAGCTTGTAAGTTTTTAAAAAATTTTTTTTTGAGGTCAGTTATTATGGAAGGCATGGTGAGCTAGCTGTTATGTATGAATAAGTATCGTTGCTAATCATTAAACCAGGACCAAGAACCATGTGTAAATGTGAAGGTAAAAATTTTCACCTTGATGTGTGCTTTGGCTTTGTTAAGCAAACCAAGTGTTGTGTGCCTGGTGCAGTCTGGTCCTAGTGGAATCAGAACTTTTAAGCGTTCTAAACACAGGCGCAGATGAGCTCGTCTAAGAAAGAAAGAAAAAAAAAATCAAATAAATCAGCACAGCTTGGATATTATACTAGAAACATCCTAAAACCTATTTTCAGGAAAACAATAATTTGCACATTATTCAGCCTATAACCATCTTACTACACCCTCAATTCTTCTGTTTCAAAGTAGCTGCAAGTGCGGACATGCTTGTTTTTTTGGTCTCTGCCATTTCTGTTGGCCTCTGCAAATACTAGTCACTTCAGATGATTATCCTCAATGGTAATCTCTGTCAGAAATGGTTTATTTTTTTAGCCCACCTCATAAACTGTCTCACTGTATAAATATGGAGGTGGGAAAGTAAACTAGGGCACTCGTATTTGGTTTGATTACCTAAAACTAAACGCGAGAGCAGTGATTTTAACCCAGGGCGCATAAAATGCTCACAAATCTCCACTTTATGTCTCCCACCTTTTACTTATACACACATCCCCCATTCTACACCTACACCTGTCCAACAGTGTTATATGTTGTTATATATTATTAGGTTGAACCATATGAAATGTCTGATATTTAACCATTTGTCACTTATAAAAATGGCAATTTAATATGATTCAACCCAACAGAAATAGCAAAATCCTGTGACTGGCTAAGATAGGATCAGACAGAATATATGGCCCTGTAATCAATTCTAACCACTGAAATAACAACCCATAAAATAGTCTCCTGCTTCCTAATATCCAAGTGTACCAGCTCATTAGCTTTTAATTTTTATTTCCCTCTCACTCTTACCACTCCCCTCCATTTTCTTAGCAAAAGAAAAACAAAATAGTTAACAAAAGCCTTCACTAAAAATTACTGCCTTCTCTAATCCATCCATCCTGTAGGAAATTCTGAAGTTGGGGGAACTTTTGGCTTGAAATACCAGCAAAAAGCCTCACGGATTTACCTTCCCTGTGACCCCAAACAATTATGATCACTATGATCAGAGTGAATTCTGGGTACAGAATTCCATTCTCCAACAACAGTAGTCCACATCTTTGGTCCATAAGGCATGACATAGCTCCACAGTTAACATGTATAAAAAGAAAATCCTCAAAGGCTTTTTTAAGGAGTTAGGCTACCCCTAACTCCTTAAAAGAGCTAAAAATGACTGTTAGCAACTGCCTCAAAAACTGCACCAAAAACAAAACATGTTCTCCATTTTCTCCTCAAAGAGGGCCAAATGGCTTAACAGCTCACCCACCAACTTACTGCACAAGAGATAATGCCAGGTGAAATTCTCAAATGTTAACAATTTGAAAGAGGGGAAAAAAGAGCAGCCAATCATGTTCCTGACAATCAAGGGCATTGAGGTAGTAAGGTCAGGGGTTTGGCTGATGAACGGTCAAGATTCCTCCAAGATTCCTCCAGCACCCACTCGTGCAGCTGTAGTTAAAGGGCCATTAGTATTTCCATGGCAAATCTCTTTACTGAGTTTAATAACTAAGTGCTAATCATTGGCTTTAGGCTGAAACCTGCCCTACCCTGGGTCTGAATAAAAGAATGTTTTTTTTTTTTATTATTATTATTTTCCCTAAATTACTGGTATATCAATAGATAGCCTTTAATGAGATTTAACAATTTTAAAGTCACTCTTCTCCCCCTGTTGTGCTACCCAAATTCATGCACCCTTTAGCAAAATGTTTCTTTTCAACTGGGAATTCTCTTAGGTGAAGAATGTCACATGATCACACAATGCTCTTGCTGGGCAGACTGGAAAAAGAGAAAACACACACTGTAAGTGGTTTTCAACTCTTTGTTATGCCTCACAACTGTACTCATGATATGACTGGAGGGTAGAGAGACAGACTAGCAGTTCTCCTGCTAATAATTACAGTCTCTCAAGAGGGTTCGGAATTCAGTCACCCAAAAAAAGGTAACAAAGCAATGGTAAAAGTTAACAAGCAGCACAGCTTGAAGAATGCAGTCAATGTCACCGAATTGGACATGCAGAGATTACTGAGTTGATGTATGTTCTGCTACACCAACAACAAAAATAAATTTAAGAAAAATTATAAATTGTGTTCCCACAAGAATAGCTTGTCAATTTTATTCAAATTACTTAAACCCAGAAATTCCATATATACAGGGAATATCTTTTACATTTTGGTTTAAGAAACATCAAAATTGCTCCTTATTATAGATTCAGGTCAAGGAAAGAGAAGTATAGGTCAATTTTCTGTTAACCTAGGCTAAAATCAACTAACGTAATATTAAAATAACTATATTCTCTTTTTAGATATTAGTCACTCAGTGGTTTGTGGTTTGTTAGTTACATGACTTTTGTGTACCAAGTACTATTTCAGAGGCTTGAGAAGGAACAGTAAAGAAGATATGTAAACTCCAACATTTTACAATCTAGACTGCAGAGTAGAACATTTTTTGTTTCATAGTGAAATAAGCCATACAGACATCAAGGGGAACAGAATCTTAATTAAAAGGAGAGACTGTCTCGAGAGAAGGCAGACTTGTAAAAGAGGTTAAGACTTAACTTTGGACTTAACCGAAACCAACCAAACTCACTGCCATCAAGTTGAATCTGACTCACAGGACTAGATTTGTCTAAATGAAAAAATAAGGGTTTTCCAGGTAATCAGAAGAACCCAAGTTTTCACAAGTTGGGACCAAGTTTAAACCTAAAACTAAAATACCTTAGTTTCTTTCATTCAAGAGAAAACAACTGAGTCGGACTTTGCTAAGGAAATATCAGCCTTGGTCAGCAATCTGGAGGTCTGGGACAGCACTGTCAAACTGAGAGCTACTGAGACCAAAGGAGTCAAAACAAACAAAAAAACCCACTTGGCCAGAGTCAATCCCAACTCACAGCAACCCTTTTCAGGACAGAGTAGAAATACCGCATAGGGTTTCCAAGGCTATAAATTTTCACAGAAGCAGCCTGCCTCATCCTTCTCCCATGGAATGGCTGGCAGGTTCAAACCACCGACTATCTGGTTAGCAGCTGGATGCTCTCTAACCACTACACCATCAGTCAAGGTTTAAATAATATCTGAATCAACAGAGAAAGCAGAATGCCCTCCAAAATACCTTCTAGTAACCACTTCAGTTAAGTAATTATAAATCTGCTTCAAGATAACAGCTTAAGCCAAGAAAACACACCCTGAGATACCATGTCTTACACAGGCCAGAGATGCCACTCTCCATATTCCGTAAACACAGTCCACAACAGATACTAGCGTGAGGGAGGAGTGGGGAAGTCTTCTGCTTCCCTGCGGGGAAAGGTGTAGCTGTGGGAACTGTCATTTCCTCCCATTTTTTATTGGTAAGTAGATCAGGCATTTGGAGAGTAGAATAACAAAGAGTCAATTCAATGGCAGTTGAAGGACAGCAGCTGACCAAGGGGGAGCATAATTTTCAGAGCCTCCATCCAAATACTGCAGTTTTCCATGTGTGCTCATGTGCCACTTAGGTAAATGCACCACCTTCCCTTCCAAGAGCAACGGTATCCTGTGACTCTAAATTGTAAAGAGTTAAACTAGAAAAACCATTCGCACTGATGTGGAAGTTTTTTCTCTCCAGCAAATTCTTGAAACAAGAACTGTGTAGCAAAATTCCTCTTCCCTTACAATGGGGCTACTCTCTCCACCCTTTCCCCCATAATCTCCCTGTTGGTAACCAGATTGCAAGCTTAACCACCAATGACCTAGAAAGGCATATCTTTTGATGCCATCTGGTCCTTTCTTTTCTTGCCTTCATTTTCATGTGACTGGTAGCTCAGAAGCCTCCTGTATGGGCTTGCCAAATCATGGGCTATAAGGTTTTGGGGGAAGGGAAAGAGAACAGTAGACAGATAACAAGGCTTGGTTTGACTTGAAAATCCTTACGGATTGAGAAAATATGGAAATATCAAACAGTGATACTTTTCTAGTCTCCAAGAAATAGAGAAGCTGATACAAAAAATACGGATTTATGAAAGGAAACGTCTTGTACCTCTAGTCTAAGTAGGGAAAGAAGGCTGGGGAAAGTTGAGGATGTTTTGCTGGATAGTCTGATGAACACTAAACAGCCAGTAGAAAAATACCTGATATTGTAAAATTTATGGAACTAGGTTTGATGGAAAATGAGAAAAACTTTAGCCCCCTGGTTAACATTTCCTTGACTTTCACAACATGTGGATGGCTCAAAATCTATAAAGCTGAACTCTTTCTAATTTTACATGAGTGACGATAAAGAACAATTCAGAGAAGACACTGCAGCAGGAGGCATCTGAGAGAAAACTGGAGTCTACTTGCTGAGAGGGAAGGGACTAGAGAATGGAGATAGACTTTTATTTTCAAAGACGTCTGAGGTCTGTTTAAAAATGAGTTTTACCCAGGGGCAAGGGTAATTCCCAGCCACTAACCCTGCTAAAGAGAAGGGTCCTGTCAAAATTACCCATACCTTCAATAAGGGCAACCCCCCTCATGGAAAAAGGAACAATTAGGGCCCATTTGGCTTTTACTTCGGTAGACTGGGATTGTTTTTCCCTGAAGGAACAGATGCTGCTTTTGATTTCAAACCTTGTAAACAATACGGCCAAACTAAAGTATCACAGAACAGGAGGGGAAATTATTCTGTTGTAAAATGGCTCCTCCTCCCTGTAGCTGTGATATTTTAAAGCACACAGGCATATCAACCACAAGAAGCACACTGTGTCGAGGGAGGACTGAGGGAAGAATTCTCTTTCAGAAAAGCATTGCAAGTTATCATACAACGACGTTTTTCAAGTTGTCTCTGGAAACTCTAGTTCCCCTGCCCAACAACAATAAGAAATCTAACCCTGGCCCAGCTCCACACACCACCCATTTGCTGATGTCCCCAGAGGCCAGGTCCTCCTTTGGAACTTGCTTGTCTTTCATTCCTCCACTACAGGACACCAAGACTTTGCCAAGGAACTAAATCAAACTGGAAAGCAAGTAAAGTGATGGGGACAGAGCTTGTATTTTCCTCTCTGCCGAACGTTATGCAATGGGCTGCGAGTCCTCCCTTCAGACATGT